GGGGGTGGGATGTATTCTCCTATTGAAGATGATGGTGGTGGTGGTGGTGTATTTCGTGGTGATACTATTCATTTTTTAGCATTCAAATCCAAACACAAAATTAGAGAAATTAAAAAATGATACATCTATTAATTACGGAGAACAAGTGATAAACGAACCATCATTTCAAATATCGAATTAATTAAATATACTTTTAGAAGCGGAGGCTGTAGCCAGACATCGCTGAATGTTTCCCATTTCTACATGTTTGCTTAATATCCGTCTACAAAAAATGTCTTTTAATAAACCACGATGAAACATTATGTTAACTTTTTTGATTTATCATTCGCATGACAATTAATTTTTTAGGTGAAAACAGATCGCCATGTAGATCATATATAAATCATAGTAGTACAAACTGCACCCTTAAAAATGTCTAACGAAAGGTAATGTTTTATTTGCTGTATACGTGTACGTGTAGGTATGTTCTTATTTTCTCGATCTTTATTACAGCAATAATGATCTAGACGAAATCACAAAGTCTTCTACATTGCTTGATGGTCTCCTGTTAAATCCTAGTACATTAATTCCGATATTATCAAGCGAATATGATTTGTTTCCGAAAGATATTGCGTTGCTGTTGAATGGTGGCAATGGGTCAAGAGGAGTAAAAACTCAAAGTAAAAAGTCGGTATGCATGATTCAAATTGTAAAAATCATTTTTATTATACACGAATAAATTTTTTCTTAATCTTGATTTAGCAACAAAACGGATATCTTAAATCAATTACAATCACTCAAAGAACAGAGAATAAAAGAAGCTCAACACCTTGAGCATGAACTGAGTAATCTCAAAAATAATGTTAGTGACGAACAGAATATAAATTTCTTGGCTGTAATGTTCATAATGATTTGTGATTCTTGCTCCAATAAATTACAGGATCAAAATATGTATGAGTTTGAGGAAGAAAAAGATGAAAACAAAGAATCACTCGTTCGGCTTACAACGGTTGCCGGTGATCTCAAGCAACAGTTAACGAGATTCGATGAAATTTACGATAAAGAAATTGCACCCTGGGTAAAAAATAACAAGGACACGCGGGATAAAAGCAATACAATTGGTAATGAGTTGGGAATGATTACACATGTTCAGATTATTATTTATTGATCATTTTTCATCCTTTTGATAGGTCCGAGTACAAAAAGGGCCAATATCGAAATCAAGAGATTACGGAATGTAAGTGGGAAGAATTTTCATTTTGCGTCAACACGTATAGGTATAATTAACAATTACGCGGTCGATAATGTTTATTTATAATAGTATCTTGAGGACTTGCAGACCATTCATACATCATACGAGAATATTGTCTCAAATATTCCTGATATTATCGCGACGAGACCTCTATCGCCTCCAAACAACAATAATACGAGGGAAATACAAGGATCGATAAAAATTAACCCGATAAATATTGTGAATGCTAAAGGAGAGACTGGACTGGAAGCTATCACTAAATTAGAAACTATTGAAAAAATACTGCGTGATGGAATTTTAAGACGAGAAAGGAGAGCGGGTTAAAAAATTAAATTAGTGCTACACTAAAATGTAAATAATATTATTTCCGCTAAACATGATTCGAAAATAGAACTTTTCTAATTACAATCATCGCATGACGAATTATTGATACTCAATGGGGTGCAAACAGGGAGCTTAAACATTTTGGCATAATCGATTAGTTGAGAATCATCAGTTACCAAAACGATGTCCTCAATTTTGGCAACTCGATAATAATAAATAACACAACTCAAAAGATGGCGATAATTTCTTGGCACATCCATCACTTCAAAGTTTCCATTGCTTTGTTGTTGATGATGATTATGATTATTATCAGGTTCCAATGATTCTTCATCGTTGTTATTTTCTGTATCATCGTTAACGTTTTCATAATAATATTCGGCAACTTTATCCCAAGGTGTAATCTTTTCGTTAACTTTTTGAGCACGAATGAAGAAATGAGATCCATGATGCTGTTGATTGGGTTGTTGCTTTTCATCGTTGGAGATGTCTTGACGTTTTCGAAATTGCTGATCGAGAAATCGGATTGCTTCACGTGCACGAGCATTTTCTTGATTATCACCTTTCTTTATTGAGTCTAACAAGTCGATTACTATTGTCGCAAAGAATGGTTAGCCTAAATAAAATTGGGATAAAATGTTCAATAAAAAATCATGATCACCTTCCAAAGGAATAATCACATGGCATTTAGCCTCTGATGTCCACTTTCGCATTAATTTCAAATGATTCAACACAACCGTAATATCAACTACACATTGTTTTGTGGGCATAATAGGCGATGAAAGTTTTGGGTTGACACGTGCAGGAACACTCATCTTTTGAAGATTTTGTTCTAGCGAAGTCACTTGCTCTTGTAAACGTTGTTCGGCCATCAATTGCATAACACGTCGACGTTCTTTTTTCTGTAAGTATAATGTTTCGATAAATACAAATAATCAAAAATATTTTTATTCTGAATTTTTATTGTGTACCTTGGCCTCCTCGTCAACGAAAGCAAATTGTCCTATTTTCTCATTAAACTCTAATATTTCAAAAGACTGATATTTACAAAGAAAAATTTTTGTCAAAAAAAAATAAAAATCATATATAAAAATCACATATATGTAATTCTGTTCACCTTCGAATCAGCCAATTTTTTCGCAAAATTATATAGTCTAGCCATTCGCGTCTTAAATGGATCACCAACTGCACCAATATTGAAACGCAGATTCTGCTGCAACGGTCGCAACGGGATAATTCCAAGAAATTCCAAATCTTCCGGCAGCGAATCTAGTGAAAATGCGTTGAGATGATGATCACCTAAAATCATCTGAAGTCGGGAAAGATTAAGTGTTTTGGCTAATGATTTGGCAAAATCCGTAATATTCTAATAAAAAATATTTTTGTTTAGTACTTGGATGTGCAATAAAGAATCAACAAAAGCAATAATGATGATATCAGAAGTACCGTCAGAAACTGCGAAACCAGCATAACATCCTCTTTTTCCGCGCTTTTTGAATAAGTATATAATTGTAGAAAAGACTCGAATGATAGCCCAATATACTCGCACCAAAAAACCACAGCGGGCAGACACTCTGTCACTGAGCTCCGCAAAGAATGTTCATTTTCCCCATTTACTAAATTCATCAAAGCGTTATGCAAATGATCCAAAATATGGATTGAAAAGCCTATCCCTATGCTAATTATTGCGATTTGTGCATAACGTAGCTCGATAATACGATCCGGAGCTGAATATTCCAGAATAGAAATTTAGCAAATTTTGCAGGGAGGAACGCATCCATTAAAAATATAATTGACATGCAGTTAGCTCGCTTACCTGTTCCATTTCGATAATCCCAATATGTAATTAGTAGAATAAGAATGATTTTCTTTAGGGTTGTGCCTAAATTAGAATTACTGTCTGACGGCAAATTTATTAAACGTTCGAAACGATCTTTTAATTCCCCAATCTCTGCGGCTTTTTTCTTAAGACTAAAAAACGCATTAATCGACTTTCAAATGTTTCGGAAGCTAAAAAATTGCAACATATTTGAAAATTAATACCCAGCAATGTCTTCATCAAAAAGTAGACGATGAATTGATAAGAAACATCTGGCGAATTCGTCTACTCCAGTTCTACAAAATATTGGAAAGTAAATATTAGCACATACAGACAGATACCATGAAACGCACGCATACACAGAGAAATAAATAAATACAGACAAAGGTGAAGTAATAATGCGAGTGTTTTCTGATTGTTGGAATTTTGTGTAAAAGGTTTTAAGATTATCTGCAGCGATAGGAGAGGGTTGTTTTGTTGCAAGACTACAAAAAAAAATAAAATAATATTAATTGACGTTATCTATATAAAGTATATTTTTGATATACAATACCTAAGTGAATACCAATAAACAACGTCTAAATCATTGTTACTATATGCAGCCAAAACAGCTAATTGACCTTGTGCTTTTCCTGGATAATTTATTTTGAGAATATTTAGCAATTTATCGAAAAATATTTTTCAATTATCCTTACCATAATCGCAAACAATTCGTGTCGCTTTGATATAAAACTGCTGAGCAAATTCCCAGCGTCGTTCACCCACTGCTGTAATAACAGTTTCACGATACCGAGCAAAGTCCCCAAGATAAATAAGACAACGTTGAATGCATTCAGCTGCAAGTTCTTGTCTGCGGATTTTTGAGATAGTTGGCGAGGAAGGAGAATGATTTTTGATCTCCCCGTTAGTTGCTTTTTTAAATAGTTCTTTTATTTTCATATTAGATTCGAGTTATTGGTATAATGTTAAAATTTTTACATATTTCAAGTATACACAAATTTGAAAATATTCTTTTTTTACCAACGCCAATTCGATCTAAATCGATATTTTCCCGAATCTTTAAATTATTTATAAGAGTGTGATAAAAGCCAGTTCCTAAATCAAGATATCGACACAATTCAAGGTATGCCGCTTGGTGATCATCTGATACCTTCTCAGATTTAATCTTTCATATTATTTTAATGTCAAAGATACATGCGATTCAAGAAAAAATTACATTAAAACATTAGGAAAAAATTAAAAACTCTGGAGAGAACATATACAATACTTTTCGCAGTTTTTGCCTAAGTTCTTCGACGTGACCGTAGAAAATATTTCTCCAGAGTTTCTCTTCAATGTTGTTTTCGATTGCGAACTTTAGATCAGTCAAGAGAATGTCTTCGTACACGTCTTTCAGACTTTTTTTCAGTATTGCAAGTAGTAATCGGTTAATTAGTTATTTTGATTTTATGCGGAATAAGAAGAATTTTATTATTTTAAATTGGAAGGAAGGGTATTTAGATATAAATACCTATTACGCAAAAACTCTACTTCTTGTTCTAATTCCGCGGCTGATTCCGCGTTTTTCGCTCGTCTTTTAAGCTGTTCTTGTTTCTTGAATTCTTTTTCAAGCTCAATAACCTCACTTTTCGTGATGTATTGATGAAACTTTAATTAATACTTGCAAGATAATCATTGAATGTATGCCTTTCCTCTTGATTTAATGAACCCACGTTGATAATTCTTTTAGCCTTTTCCTTTCTTCGTTAACATTGGTTGACATTGTAAAGGCATTGGTACATCACTGTCCTTTTAAGGAAACGTTTTTGAAAGTGTGAAACGGCACTGGCAGCAGCAATTCGAACGCTTAAGAAATAAAATAAAGGCGGTAGTACTAGCTTTCCAGTTTAGAATAGTTAAAAAAAAAAGAATGCTACGCGTTTTACTTGGAATGGAAATTTTCGCACGATTTTTTGACCAACATTACCCACTAAAGAACACGTGCCACCGAGTCCATTATTAACTTTTTGATCCTGATGCGCTTACAAAGATGAAAGTGCCAGCAAAGTAATATGAATAATATATCTGTTAGAATTCTGTATTTTTATATTTTTAGTCAAAAGAAATGCAGCTTACTAATAAATATTTTTTTTATTTATTACATAAAAATAAAGTTTATAATCCAGAGTTTTTATGTTTTGCAATGAAAGATTTTCTATCACCGCCATATATAAACTCATAAATTTTTATGTTTATCACGTGCGCAAATTTTGAACTTTTTTTGGCGGCGAAACATGATAAAACTCAGAGTAGCTTCAAATATAATATCCTTATCAAATTTTCAACGCGTATTCTCGACAAAGTCCTCGCCGTTTCTTCAGTCATTTTATTATAATTCCCATTCGTTGAAGAATATGGAGCAACCTGGTCCGGTATACATGAGCATTCAAAGAAAGGTTTATCTTTTTGGCTATTATCATGTTTGGGCGTGTCTGTCACTAGTAAATTAAATGAGTTTTTATTGTTACTAAAATAAAGCTAACGGATTCGCTGCAACCGACCGCTTTGGAAATATTCAATGAATCTCATTTACATGCGCATCACCAAGCAATGAGAAATGTTGACAGTAATGAAACGCATTTTCGGTATTTTTGATCATGATTTTTTTTTTCAAATCAAAAACTCAGTTTCATTTCATTAAATGTCGAAAATTTCAATTTAAAGAGTATCTATAGTTTCGAATGAATTTGAAGGAAAGGTAGTAAAAAAATAATCGAATTTTTCAAACCTCCTTGAAATGATGATAATTTTATACCTTTATATTGTAATCAAAGACTTTGATGCAACGGCACAGACTCGTGTACAGTATATTGAGCGAAGAATTATCCGGTGGAGTACACGCGCTCACGATAAAAGCTAAAACACCTAAAGAGGTAACGACATGACGATGGGTTGGGGAATGAAAAAGCAGAGAGGACTTGCCTTTGTTGTTAATTTATTGGTTTTCAACGATTTTAAAAATGAATGATAAACTGGGCATCGTCTTTTTGGTACCATTGGGGGTAATGATTGGTAGTGAGACCTATTCATTTGGGCCTATCAACTCTATTGTAGCTGGTGAAAAATAATACGCTGTATTTGGAATAATAAACTCAGAGAAATCTTTATGATCCAATCAACTACCATATAAGATAATAGTTATTAATAATACGGAAGAGTCGGATGTATCCGGAATAAATGATTATTATGAGTACTTCTCCTCAGTGAGGAAACGAAATCTTTCCTGGAGGAGGCCCTTCCCCGAGAAAAAAACCTCGGTGAAAAACTTCTTTGATGAATTTTGTTATGTTAGAGCAGGTCTCTAATTTAATCAAAGGATGCGCCTGTTCAGTTACTACACCGTCGCGATTGCTTTTGTTTTAAAGTTTTGTAGCGCAAAATTTTGTGAAGGAATCTATTGTGTATCTGGGATAAATTAAATATTTTAATATTTGTCGAAAGCTGATCATGAATGTGATAGATACTAATGGTAAGAATTACGATGAATTATATCTTGCGCGAGTTGTCATTTATCAGGAACTCTCAAAAAATACATACGATAACTTGAATATATTTTTACAAAAAAATATTTAAAGAAATAATAATATCTATGATCTTACGTAGTAGTAGTAGTAGTAGTAGTAGTAGTACAATAAAATGTAATAAAATCTATGATCTTACGTAGTTAGCAGTACAATAAAAATGCATCATACAATGAGTACGTCTCCTGTATGGTTCAATAAACAACGGCAGCGTACTAATTAAAATAATGTTCCAAATAATGATTTTTATCCAACCTGATTTTTTCTCTCGATTAGCAACATCATGACAAATTTCTTTTTTTTCCTTATTACCACCATGACTCCTCATTGTGTTTTCAACTCCTTCCCAGACAACAAACATCACCGCATGAACCACAAAAAATAAAAATTGATGTCCAGCAGTATTGTTTTCAGCTCCTATAAACGCGTAAAGAATATACTCGTGCATCAGTCCACTTAATAAAAAACAAGAAACGGCACCCATCGCACAAGCAAGTTTTTTATTCCCACCGAATTTGATGACAAGATTATGTGTTGGGTAAAAAGCGAGTTGTTTGAATTGCTCTGAGAAGCCTTGGTGCCATCGGTTTGACCATAGGTCACGTGGTGAACTCGAGAATCCTGGATTATTGAAAAGTGTTGGAGAATAGAAAACCATGTGTGTACACCATCCCCGGATTGCTATTTGTCGTTTGGGTGATAAATGCAGTAGTTTTGATGCAATGTTATCGATTGTGGGTGTATTTTTATTGATTATTGTTGTTGATGTGGTGGAATCTTTTTGATCAGCAGGAAGTAACGCATACAAAATTAATGCCGAATTTAATAAAATAGCTTCATACGTGAAATTCATTGATAAATACAAAACTCCACTACACAAATAATGCCATAGTAATTCATGGGACGTGATACTTGAATCTCCTTTATTATCACCAAAGATCACATTTCGAAAAAGTCCCAATACTCGATATATATAAAATTTCTCATAAGTTTTCGGTTGAAAGTTTTCAACAATTGTTGCTAGTGATACATAAAGCAGCCATTTTCCAAAGAAGATGTGTAAGCGCTTTACGATAAATTTGGCAAGATATGTTTTCGTTGGAAGTAATAATTGGGTATTGTCATGTGAATCATATGTTATTGGTGGTGTGATTTGTCCCGAAGATGTTATTTGATGATACCGAGTGTGATCACGTGGTAACACGATTGAATTCCGAATATGGGAAAGCGTCGAGAAAAATGAATCGATTTGATTCTCCTTTTTATTCGAATTCTTCTCATTAATTCTAATCGCATAAATCTTTTTCGCCCACATCGACAACTTTAATATAAACATTGCGGATATAATGCTCACAATACACTGAATACAAGTAAATTGTAGTCCATTTGAAAGTATCGGTAAAGCCAGCACCACGATCATTGACAATGTGATCAAAAAAATCCTAAACCATGACTTGGGCGGTTCAAAAGTCAAAAGAATTGTAGAAATCAAGGATGCGTAATAGATTAACAAATAAGTGAGAAGATTTGGATATTTGATGATGGGCTCTACGTTGTATCTCGATGTTGGACTCCATGTAACAAACGTTGTGAGATTTTTTGTCAGATAGTATAGTTGAAATAATGCGAACGGAAGGTGAATTAATATCGTAGAGAGATGCATGATTTTTTTTACAGATTAAACTCGATATAATTAACTTTTTAAATATTTGTGGGAAAAAAATTTTGTTTGTTACATTAAGCGCAAACGGTGCATTGTGAGAGCCAAGACATTTAGATAAAGTCATTAGATTGTCTATCAATTAGTAACTGTTCTTAGAATAAATGCTTTAAACTAAAAGTGTTGCCATAATGAAAAGTAACACAACTTCTGATTTCAACATATTAATAACAAACATTCATTTCTCACTGAAAATTGGAATAAAAAAATGTCGATAGACGCCGCAGCAGTACTACAAACGGTCTCCATAATACGCAAGCAACTAACTCGTGGGATAACAATCACAATAGAAAACTATCATGATGGGTATAGTCTACGAAATATGGAATATTATTGTGAGACTGACTGTTTTAACGCGCCAACTATAAGTATTGGACCGGGGAAATGGGGAGTTGGGTGAGTCTATCTTTGTATTTAAATGGTATAGAAGATCATTGATCGGAAAAGTGATCTGATATATGAAAATAATTTGAAAAAGATTAATCGTGATTTACTTCGTATATATGATTATAGCAGAAATAATAATTCTAAGCTATATATATTTCAAAATAATAATTCTAAGCTATATATATTTCAAAATTCAATAAATTAGAGCATTTAGAAGCACATTAACGTCCGGTACGAGAGGCCTGTTATGTTACGAATTATTCGGAAAAGATTGGAATTTTGAAGAACGATTGTTTTTACTTATCGGATGGCACGTATGTAATTAAGATTATTATTATTAGCAATTTGTTTGATAGTTTACGTTTTATTTTATCTCTGGTAATACTGTTATCACTAGCATACATAGATTGAATCAACTCGTCTTTCACCAAAAATTTTAACCTTAAAACAGGTCCCGGTGCTAGGCGACAATACTTACTTCCTTCAAGTAGCACAGGTAGACTCGCCCACCTTTCCATCCAAAAGATCAGAACGGCGTCGTGTCTTTGAAATGCTCTTCGAGAACAGGACTAAGGCCCGCAGCAGCACAATAGCACTACACGTTAATCCAACCCGGGTCCTAGACTACGCACCAAGATCTGCTGATGAAGAAATACCTGAATACTATTTATCAATTTGTGCATCAATGGCTACCACATCGATCGCGAACCTCAAAGTGGAACTGTACCCGTATCATCGACCATTGAATTATACTGCCGAAGGTCCAATACAAATTTCTGTACCGGAACAAGTTTCGTTAGTGAAGTTGGTGGAGAAGAGTTTCGTTACCGCGGAGAATATTGTTAATGATGCTCTGGAAAAGTTGGGTATTGATAGTGGTAAGAATGAGGATGTCAAGTTGGATGATGGTGGCGGCGAGAACGATCAACAAGGTAAATGTAGTAAGGATGGAAGGGAGTAGGGAGTAGGTTTGTTGATATTAAAAATTGAGCGTCTTAGTCACATATATACGTATATATAGAGTAATATTTCCTTTTCAAGAGTTAGGATAGATATTAGAAAAATTAAATTATTATCTCATGTATTTATTTATCTATCTATCCTATTTGTATATTAGTTTATGGAAGTCATGAATTAGGTTTGAACATATTAAATTGTAAGTGATTTTTTACTTACTGGTCTCGATTCAAGATGATTGAAATCTAAAACTTTAAATTTGTGAACCTATAATGATACATTTATGTGATTCATGTGAGATCTATTTGTTGCTCAGAAAAATGAAAATAGATCATCAAATTGATCTTTTTCGTAGATTGAGATTCTTGTTTGGACGCCTTCTTCCCATTTTATCACTTCGGTACTTAATCTTTGAAGATAACATTAATTAAACAATTTTAAACCTTTTGTATTGATTGATTTATTAATAATATAATAAAATGCCATCAAATTCGCCATCTTCTAGCGTAGTTCCTGTAAATGAGGTTTTAACGCCACAACCTACGTCCAAAATCTACAAGCCAACCGTTAATACAACATGTGATGTCGAAAAAATCTCGAAAAAAATCATATATCCATTTTGGTTAGGAGGTAAGTTTTAATATCTCTTGTCTTCTAATAGTTTGCTCGATTTGTTGTAAAGTTTCCTTTTTTCACAATGCAAACGTATTCTTCTAAAATAAGGTGCCGCTGCAATGACAGCAGCCACGGTGAGTCATCCATTTGATTTGATAAAAGTACGTCTGCAAACGTCAAAAGGAGCCGCAAAGACCAGTGCAATACAAACTGCATTTAAAATAGTACGCACCGAAGGGTTCTTCGGACTATATCGTGGCTTGAGTGCAAGTCTACTACGACAGGCCACTTATTCAACCATGAGATTCGGGACATACGACAAGATCAAGCTTTTTTTATCCAAAGGTAATTTCTTTGGTTTAATCTAGGAAGAAAATGAGAGATTAATGTCGAATATGAAAATATGTAGGCGGCGAAGAACTTTCATACACGAAAATGATCTTTGCCGGTGCAGTGGGTGGTGCTGTTGGCGGTGTATCTGGTAATGCCGCCGATATTGTAATGGTTCGGATGCAGAACGACGCTAAATTAGAACCACACCTACGGCGCAATTATCGAAACGCTTTTGATGGTCTGATACGAATTGGAAAAGAAGAAGGAATAAGCGGATTTTTTCGTGGAGTGGGGCCTAATGTTAATCGTGCCATTTTGATGAATGTATCACAAGTGACCACGTATGATGTGTTTAAATCATTATTATTAGGAACTGGCTACTTCAAAGATAATATATGGTCTCACTTTAGTGCAAGTTTATTATCAGTGAGTATTCTACGGTTAATCTTTGTTTCCGATTCTATGAATTTATCCTCCGATTTTTTTTACATAGGGTTTGGTCGCGACTACGATATGTTCTCCCGCAGATGTTATAAAAACACGTATTATGAATTCAGGCTCACAGCATAAGGTAATACAAAGTATTTCATTTAATTTTAATTTCCTTTTTTTTTTTTTTAATTTATTGATTTCATGAATCCGTTTTTTCATAGGGTGCTTTTTCGATCTTATCGACAATGGTCCGAAATGAAGGACCCTTTGCTCTCTTTAAAGGTTGGGTGCCTGCATACGTACGTCTCGGCCCGCACACCATCATAACGTTTATTGTGTTAGAAAAGTTGAAAGAACTTTACGTTAGAAAGGAAATATTTGGGATAACATTTTCTTCATAGATATTAGATTTCTTAGAATGTGTTTGTTTTCATTAGAATGTGCCACATGTGATCATTTACAAAGCTTTAGACTGAAACCTTAATTAGAATTATATAATAAACACGCTAAGAATGAATTTATCGTGAAAAATCAGTCTTTTTATATCATTAATAACGTCATGTTTCTATGTTGATTCCATGACTCGCTTCTTGTAAAGAAAATTTTTATTGATAGTTAAAGGTCGAAAAAGATGACGTGAATTATAATATAATGCAAGATCCCCACCGACAAATAATATTTCCAGTAATTCTGAAGTACCCAATTTGAGTTCACCACGATTGTTCAGCAAAATATTATTACATTTGATATCTCTATCTAGTATTCCATGCTCATGAACTATCGCCAGACCTTCTAAAAGTTGTAACATTAAGCATTTATATGTTGCACATCTAATTGGAGTTGCGGATTATATAGAACTCCTTTAAGATCATGTTCCATATATTCGAATACGTGGGGTCGATTTGCTATACCGATTAATTGGCACACTTTTATTGGTTATAAAAATTTTAAATTTAAAGACCTCCCGTTCTAATTGTTCAATAAGAGTACGATCAATCCTGCAAAAACAAATAAACAAATCTAAGGTAGATTCCTCGTCATTTTCAATTTGTAAATACCCTGAAGATCTAGACGGAGATGGTAAAGGTGAAGGTGTATCATCGTCATCCCGTAGTATCATCATCGTATAAACGAACCTCGGTTTTCATTTTTTTATATCGCAGTAGAATTTTCCGGGATCGACAAAAAGCAAGTGAATCAAGAACGGAGGTTTTAATGTATTGATAATTAAAAAATATTTAACCTTCAAAAACAAGGACCGTTTCTGGATGTACTGTCCAATTTTTTCCTCTAATATCTATTCCACCATCACCTGGAGCTAAACTATTATTAATTAATAAAAATAAATATTTATGTCAATAGTTATAAAGGATAAAAATAGTCGCGTTCATATATTACATAGCTTCGTATCATATAATATATGGTACGCGTTGTACTCTCTACTACTTTATACATCGCAGCCAGCTTTTTCAGAGAAAAGAACGTTCATATAATTATATATGACCACGTCGTGCTTTCAATTTTTCTCCTAGTGGAGCGTAACTTCAGATATATATAATAATTCAACAAATACTTGTGAGAAAATACTCACGGAACACATTCAAATTCTCCTATAGTATTTAAACATTAATAATTTTAATTCAAATAAATGAATTTGTTTACAATTTAAAAATTTTTTGTTTACAATTTAAAAATTATTGTCGATCACAGATGAATCAATTACTTAAAAGTATGATAGCATAAAGATCAATCATCAGTGTCAAAAATGGGGGGGGTCAGAACTTGTTCCAGGTTCAATAAAGATCATTTTTGAAAAAGAACTTGTATCTTTAAACATCTCTACTGGAGTTATTTTATTATCATTCATGAAAAATCACTATCTATTGATTTATGTGCATATATCATGAGTATATGTGATATAGTTCTAAATCCAAATTATTCATTAATTAAGATAAGCAAAACTTTATTATAATGTTATATGAAGAAATATAAAGTAAGATTTTATTCTATATTATATATAATTTTTTGTGATTAATATTAATTTTCTTTTAAAAAATATATCAAAAAAATACAAATTTAATACATGAGCATTATTTAAAGATAAGAGACTTAATAAAAAAAAATAAATTAAAATTCAAAAATGATAAAGATGATAATAATATAAGTAATAATATTATTTAATAAGAAACATATAATTTTTATGTAGTAAATAACTTATTTATAGAAGATATTATAATATAATTATATTATGACATCTTAGTCTAAGTTATAGTGTATTAGTTAATAATAGTAGTTAATTTTTGTCATTATTTGAGTAATAATTAGTTTATGAGTTTGTTATTATATTTGAATTAAAGATAACTTCTCAACTAGTTGCAGCTTGCAGCAGCCAATTAGAAAGTTGTGATAGTTAATCAGAGAATTGCGATAGAATTGCAGCTAGTTGCAGCTTCCATCACTAATTTGGATATCCATATCCTATAAAAAATATAATAATAGATTTGTATTCATATCATCATCTCAAGAATAGATATAATATATTATAACTTGATTACTATAATTAATTTTCATTATATGAATTATTATATATTGAGTTAACAATTATAGCTAATTTCTATTATCAAGTTATATTTGAATTATTATATATCATGTCCTATTAAGATGTTAAGTATTTATATTTTTAATCATTTTAAACTTCAAGATTCATATTAATATTCATATATTATAATCTGTAGATGAGATATAAATTTGCAAATTTAATTATACATAAGATCAAAATATATATCAATATTTATATACTATAACTTAATAGTCTTATCATGAGTTTAATAAGTCAATTGCATTTTATGCATCATTTATAAAAGTTAATAATAGAATAAGTAATAAAAAAAAGTAAGTTATCTTCAAATATATATATAAAACTATAAGTATATATTATTAAATATGTATGCAATCTATGTCACATAATTACTATTAACTATATTATATTTCTGCTATCAGATATATATAATTAAAATATATTATATAAATATTATCAAATATATTATATTCTTACTATCAAATATATTAAATATATATTATTAAGTATATTATATTTCTGCTATTGGATATATTATATTTTTGCTATCAGGTATGTTATACATATACTATCAAGTATATGTTATATAATTACTATTAAGTATATTATATTTCTACTATTAGATATATTATATATATATTATTAAATATATATTATGTAATTGCTATTAAGTATACTATATATATATTATTAGATATACTATTTGTTATCAAAAAATCTTTAGTAATAACTTTAGTAATAGCTTTAGTAATAACTTTGATAATAGATTTATTATTAAATTTCAATTTTAAATTCTTTTTTATCTTGTTCTTATATATTATTATTAAAGTTACTAAAAATAAAGTAAAATTCTAAAAAAAAATAAAACTTTATCTTATAATATATCTAATATATATACATACAGTATGTTACAAAAAAATTTATAATTACTATTTTTACTTATATTTAATAAATATTTATTTAATTTATATAAAATTTTAAATATATATACTTGATA